TGTATGTCTATATCTGTGTGTGATTGTGTGCATGTCTGTGCCTGTATCTGTGTGTGCCTGTATCTGTGTGTGCCTGTATCTGTGTGTGGTTCTATGTGATTGTGTGTCTGTGTGTGTCTCTGTGTGTCTGTGTCTCTGTGTGTTTGTGTCTCTGTGGTCTATGTGTGTCTGTATCTGTGTGTGACTGTGTGTATATGTGTGTGATTGTGTATGTCTGTGTATGTCTGTGATTGTATGTGTGTGTGCATCTATGTGTGTGTCTGTATCTGTATATATGTCTGTGTGTGCATCTGTGTGTGCATGTATGTGTGTCTGTGTCTATGTGTGTGTGTCTATGTGTGTGTGTGAGACCTCACCCCTGAATGCTGTGTGGACCCTGGCAATGGACCTGCTCCTTCCATCTGCTGAGCCCGCATTCCTCGGTTCTCTGTCCTATGAACCAGGCCCTGCTGACCCCACTCCCCACTTGTGGTGAGCAACGTTCCACGTGGAATTCCTCCTGCTGAGTTCTCCCTCACAACTGGACGGACAGGCACACAAGGGAGCATGAGTTACATCCAGTGGTCTGCAAGGGTCGAGAGTGAGCGAGCGAGACCAGGAAGGAGGAGGCCTCTCCAGGAGGAGCAGTCAGAGTGCAAAGGGAGAAGGGAGGCAGGACGTGCTGGGCCAGGGGCTGCGAGGAAGCCCCAGCAGGAAGGGGGCTCCATGTGGCCAAGTCCCAAAGGCACAAGTTCCACGGGCTCTGAGCCACACTGGCTCACCTGAGTTGCATCACACATCAGCAAGAGGGCGCTGTGGCTCTCAGGTGCATGTCCCCGCCTTCGGCTAATGGGTTCCAGGACTCCTGGAGATGGTGTTGATCAAGCTTCCACCCCACAAAGCCAGGATACTCCCTCCCCTGGCCCGGCCCCTCCTCAGCAGCAGGTGAGTCTCTCCCATGGCTCCACCCAACCAGACTGGCCCACTGTGACTCTGACTCAGCAGGGAGTCCAGTCCCCCTGGGAGCACCTCCTGCTCTCTCCAGCCAGGGGTGGGAACGGTGCTGGCCCTCGTGTGGGGTGACTGGCTATGGCCTGACCTGGGCCCAGCTGCTGGGCTGCTCTACCTCCTGCGGCCAAAGTGCTAAGTTCTGGGGCGGGTGCTGTGATGCAGCAAGTCCAGCTGGAGCATGGGACACCTGCATTCCCTCTCACAGCACTGGTGAGTCCCGGCTGCTCCACTTCTGATCCAGCTCCTTGCTAACGTTCTTGGGAAGCAGCAGAGGATGGCCCAAGTGCTTGGGTCCACATGGGAGACCCAGATGGAGCTTCTGGCTCCTGGCTTTGGCCTGGCCCAGCCCCAGCCGTGGTGGCCATTTGGGGAGTGAACCAGCAGCTCTCTCCCCCTCCCTTCTTTCCTCTTCCCTCTTCCCTCTCCCCCCACCCTAGCTTTCAAATAAACAAACATTATTTTTTAAAGAATTGTTTATTTATTTGAAAGTCAGAGTCACACAGAGGGAGAAGGAGAGGCAGAGAGAGAGCGAGGTCTTCCATCTGCTGGTTCACTCCCTAGTAGGCTGCAGCAGCTGGAGCTGCACCGATCCAAAGCCAGGGCTCAGGAGCTTCCTCGGGGTCTCCTCATGCAGGTGCAGGAGCCCAAGCTCTTGGGCCATCTTCTACTGCTTTCCCCGGCCATAGCAGAGAGCTGGATCAGAAGTGGAGCAGCCAGGACTAACCAGCACCCATATGGGATGCGGGCATGCAGGTGCGGCTTTACCCGCTACGCCACAGCACCAGCCCCAGTCAGTATTCTTTAAGCGATCACACTGTGTCATAACCACAAAGCTGTCTGGTGAGGCGCTCCTGCAGTGACAGCGGCTCTTGCTGTGCCTCCTGTGGACGGGGACCCTGTCCCCCTGCCTTGTGCACCCTGCCTTAGCTGCCGCTGCACTGTTCATGTCTTGCTTTGGAAGGAGGAGGACACAGATGAGGGGGAGGAGGAGGAGGAGGAGGAGGGAAGGAAAGGAGAAGCAGAGGGGGAGAGGGAGGACCAAGGACATACAAGACACCAAGCTTCAGGAGCAGCAGGCATAATTCTCTCCTCAAGGCCACCCTTCAGCTCAAACAATCGAGTAGGAAAAACAACCCCAAAGATAACTCCCAACCATCGTTCTGGTGGGAACACTGCTGAAGGCCTCCCTGGAAGTCCTTTCCTAAGAAGACAGTGGTAGCACACAGCGCCACCCAGCATCCAAACCCTGCCAGTGCTAACCGAAGCCAGAGGCAAGATCTGCCAGATGGGGAGTCCCTAGCAGTCCAAGAAACACGCCCTGCAAGGCACACTTAGCACCTACCTCCCAAGAGAGACCAGGAAGAAATCGGGGTGGGGGGGGCGGTGCTGTGGTGCAGTGGGTTAAAGCCCAAACCTGCAATGCCAGCATCCCATATGGGCACCGGTTCCAGTCCCGACTGCTCCACTTCCTATCCAGCTCCCTGCTAATGTACCTGGGAAAGCAGCGGAGGCTGTTCCAAGTGCTGGGGCCCTTGTACCCATGTGGGAGACCCAGAAGAAGCTCTTGGCTCCTGGCTTCAGATCAGATCAGATCAACCCTGGCAGTTACGGCCATTTGGGGAGTGAACCAGCAGATTAAGGACCTTTCTCTCTCTCTGTCTCTACTTCTCTCTGTAACTCTTTGAAATAAATAAAATAAGTCTTTAAAAAAAAAGAGAGAGAGAGAGAAATCAGGAATGGATGAGGCAAGGCAGCTGACAACCACCTGTCCACAAGCCGCACAGCTGCAGGCAACGCTGCAACTGACACCCCTGGACCCACACCTGTCACCAGGAAGGGACCTGCATCCTGACCACATTCCAAATGCTTCTCCTGCCCTTCACTCACGCAGGGTTCCGCCAGCCCCTCCCCAGCTCCATCTGGTCCCTACCTCGTGGCCCAACCTTGTGAGAGCCCAGTCAGCCCAGCACCTGAGCTGAAGGTGGACAGAGAGGGTTGAGTGTTTTCGGCAAAGATCTCAGCAGGAGAGGCTGTCCTGGGAAACCAACAAGCCATGCCCTGGCGCCTAATAACACCAGAGCTACAGCCACTCAGCCACTCATCGGCCACCTCCGAGGCGTGGCACTCACTACAGGATGCTGAGGTTCTGAACAAATGCCCAGCTCTGATGTCTGGCCATTCAAGCAGACACTGACAACCCATAACAAATGGACGTGGCTGTGTCCAAGTAAGGCTGTCTTACAAAAGCAGGCAGCAGGCTGGGTTGTGTCCTGTGGACTGCACCTGGCCAGCCCTGGTCTGCACACCTGTCCTGTTGTGAGCCGCCTGGCAGGTAAACATATGCCACTTCCCAGGCCCCCCAGGAGCTGGCACCAGTCCAGGGACATGGAACCTTTTTTCTGCCAAGGACCACTTGGATCTTTATAACATTATTCATGAGCCATACAAAATTATCAACTTAAAAATTAGCCTGCTGTAGTTTTCCCCACCTTGGCAGAGCCAGGTCAAACAATGTCACGAGCTAATGTACCTGGGAAAGCAGCGGAGGCTGCTCCAAGTACCCACGGGGGGCCCACTGGCTGGACGTCCCCTAGGGGCGCACCAGCACAGCACTCTCCTGAATTCCATCCTTGGAAGTATCCGGAAGCTTCAGAGCTAGTGGACTAGCTAAGCATGGAGCCAAGCAGTCAGAACTGTGAGTAAGCAGACCACCCACCCTCGGCCTGAGGATGGGAGAGTACACAGAAATCTCCCTGGGGGGATGGCAGCACAGCCTCACTCCTCCCTAAACCCACCCCCACCCACCTCTGTCCCTGCACGGGCCTTCCCACCAAGTGCCGTCAGACGCCTGGATTAGAGCTCAAAGTCCGTTTGCTCCCTCAACAAACAGCCACCATGCCGGGTGCCAGGAAACAAACGTGGACAAAACTGACCATGACCCTAGCCTTCTGGGAGGAAGACTGAAAACGGAGCCTCCGCACCTGCCAGGGATGCCTGTGAAGATGAGCCGAGGGCAGTGTGGCTGGACAGATGGACCGGCAGGAAGCAGGGCAGACTTTAGCCAACACGGTCAGGAAAGACAACTCCGAAAGGGCCGGGCTGAAGACAGACTTGGGTGGGCAAGGAAGACAAAGTGTGCTCCGGGTTGACACTAAGGATATGCAAAACACCCCGGGTACGAGGACAGCAGAATTCACTGCAGGATACAAGGCTGTCATCTGCGAGGGTCTCTACTCTGGTGTCCAAAAGCATCCACAGAATCCCCCTAGAATATCTGGGCATGACCCCCACTTTGGTCCCAGACAGGAAGGTAAAGCAGTACAGATTATATTTGAACCACACACGTGGCTCTCCCATGGACGTGTCAGCTCAGCCTCACTGGCACACCTGTGACCCGACCCTCACACGTGGTCCCTGAGCGTGGCTGTGAACAGAGCTTCAGCCAAGCTCTGGGGAAGAAATTCCATTACCGCCCAGACAACAAAGCAGCACCCTCAGCCGTTTCACGGACCCTGGGGCCCCGTCTGGGTTCAGCTGGCTGAGCCCCTACAAGGCCTTCTTGTTCCATCTGCACTTCAAGGTTTGCCCATCCCAGATGCCCTGGGCACTCTCGGGAAAAGCCTTCCACAAGGGGCTGGTCCCTGGCTGATGGACTCGCTGTTCCCACCACGTGACTCTGATTCACTTCCATGAAGCCGTCTTCACTCAGCACAGCCCCTGCCCCAACAGAGGCAGAGACAGAGACGAGAGAGAGCAAGGGCTCCCCGGAAACCCTTCAGCAACCTGCACAAATGAAGACGAGGGGCAGGGCAGACCCCGAGTAGTTCCCAAGCACGCAATATGGAAAGAAAACAGGTAAGACACAACGTAAGCATATTTTCCCTACTTAAACAAGGAGGACCAGGTGCCTGGAAAACAGCAGCTGCTACAATGCACTGTGCTGCTCTGGACAGTACATGAACTCGAAGAAAACCTCCTTGGGACGCTTTCGCCGAGGCCCAACTTCTCACCATGGCAAGAGGCACGATGCCCACGAAGGTCGTCTGGCTGACGAAGACCTCGGAGACGACCAGCGCACTCACGGTGTCCTCCACTGGGTACTCCACCTGCCAGGTAATTTGCTGGGCCCCAGCCAGGCCACTGCTGTTGTCGATTCCAAAATCCACTTGCAAGATCTCATAGAAGGATCCATTTACTCTAGAAGAGAAACACATTAAAGTTCAGTTTAAAACCCTGAACTCAGCAGGGTGCCAAGAGTATGATACATTGTTGCATTCATCTTTGTCAACTGAAGTAACAAAGGCCAAGTTCAACCAAGCGAGTGGCAGTGTTGGCAGAACCTAGTTCATGGCCACTAGCAGCGCCCTACACCACAGGAGAGACTGAGCCCCACCTCTGGGGCTCTGTGGACAGCAGACTGCTCTTCACTGAGTGGGTAACTCGGGCATCGCTTCACCTCTGAACACGCAGCTCACTCCCCTTCCAACCCCACACGTGCACGTGGCACAGTGCAAACACCGCGCCCCAGAAACGTTCCAATGTCATTTAGTTCAGATTCTTGTTTCTCCCACTGCAAGGCACATCCTGAGTTCTGGCTCTGTCGCCCTCTACTTCTCTGTGTGTCTAGAGACCAGTGATTCACACTCTGAGCTTCAGAATTTGGAGGGAACAGCGGCGACTTCAGGGGCTTCTAGGAGCTTCATGAGACCAACAGTAGGAAAGGACTTCATAAGCTACAAAGTTTACCCCATAGCAGTGGGTGATGCTGCTGATTCCTCATTTCATTAGCCTGAAATGGGACTGGATGTCACGTAAGAAAACCCTACATTCTTTAATTCATAGAGAGACAAAGTTAAATGTGTTTGGGGAAGAGGGGAAATGTGGGTGTGGCTCATATAAGTGAAAAGGGCAAAGGCCATCCTTAGTACGTTTATGCACAGGAAGGCTCTTGTAAGCTGTAGACCGACTGTTGCGTTGACAAGGAAGTCACTGTAGAGAGAGTACAACAAGCACCCATCCAGCACAGGGCTGTGAAGACCTCCTGTTCTGTAGTCTGCTTCCTTCTCTGCCCATCAAGCTTTACCCAGATCCAAGAAAAGGGACAGGAGAGCCACTGACCCACCAGCTCCCCAAGGCCTGAGTCACACAAGCCAGCTGTCTGCTCTCTGCCAAATGGGCCTAGAAGCCTCTGTCTGGGATTGGGCTGGTCCCCCGGCTCTCAGCCTGCAAGGAAAAGTTCTGAGAATGCACCTGCTGCTGGGGGCAAGTCGAATAGCATCCCCTACCATGGATAACTCCCCACGACTACAGGCTGCCTGTCCATGAGCCACCCTACCATGGACAGCTCCCCACCACTGCTGGGTGCCTGTCCATGAGCCACCCTACCATGGACAGCTCCCCGCCACTGCTGGGTGCCTGGCCAACACCCCCTACCACGGACAGCTCCCCACCACTGCTGGGTGCCTGGCCAACACCCCCAACCATGGACAGCGGACAGCTCCCCGCCACTGCTGGGTGCCTGGCCAACACCCCAGTGCCAGCTCCCCGGCTGGTGACTTAGTCAAGAAAAGGGGTGGGGAAATCACAGCCATGTGCTTTCTTTACAGGCCAGCAGGTACCACTCAGATACACTGGCTTTCACAGAACATCTACTTTTATATCAAAATCTACCACTATTTTAAGAAGCTCTAAGAGAGGCTGGCATTGTGGACAAGTGGGTGAAACTGTCTCCTATAACGCCAGCATCCCATATGGGCACTGGTTCAAGTCCCAGCTGCTCTACTTCCAATCCAGCTCCCGCATCATGGCCTGGGGAAAGCAGTGGAAGATGCCCAAGGGTTTGAGTCCCTGCCACCCGTGTGAGAGATGCAGATGAAGCTCCCGCCCCCGGCCTGGCCCAGCCCCTGCTGTTGTGGTCATCTGGGGAGTGAAAGATCTCTCTGTGTGTCTCTCCCCCTGTGTGTGTGTGTGTGTGTAACGCTTTCAAATAAAGAAGTAAATCTTTGTAAAATTATTTCATAAAAGAACCCTCAGATACCATACAAGGAATAAGATGGCCAGTGACCACAAAAGGTGATTTACATTCAAACAAAATCAAGTTCAAAAAGGTCAATCAAATTCAGAATTCAGTCTGCTGGTCACACTTGCTCAGAAGCCACGTGTGGCTGGTGGCTACCATGCCGGGAAGGGTGGACAGAGAGCCTGTGGCCTGCTCTGCACCCTGGGAAGCCACCTCCACCCCTCCCCGAACCTGTGGCTGGTGAGCAACAATGATGCCCGTCTTTCCACCTTCAGCAGGGTTACCGGGGGTGGATGTGAACCTGTTCCAAGGAATGTCCAGGACTATGAACTCATCCTGCGATGACAACATGCATGAGAGACACAGATCTTTGGAACTGTCCAGGGACCCTCATGGTAAACACAGCCAGGGGTCCCAGCTGAGCCCACGCTGAGGGTGGGGCCGTGGGAGCCATGAACCCTCCAATTTCCACTCACACGGCTGTCCTGCACCGGGCGAGAAGCTGCATGCTCAATGAGGTTTTCTGGAATCAGCAACAGGCACACAGGGACTGGCCCCACAGGCAGGACCCCAGCTGCCCTGGGCTGCCTCAGAGAAAAGGCGGAGGACGGAGGGAGCCAGCACCAAGGTCTGAGCTGCAGAGGGGACTCGGGACTCGGGATCCGAGCACTCCGCTCTCAGCCACTCCCATCCACCACACCCAGCCCAAAACCCAGCGAGAGGAAATGGAGCCACCTTGCTCCACCTCCAGCCATGAGTCCTGCTGAACTCTCACCCTGGGGCTGGGGTCAACACAGGAGGGACAAAGGGGGCTTCTGCTGAGCCCCCAGCCCCTGCACCCCGGCCCATCCTGCTCTCCTCAGACCCCCCTGCCCAGGAGTTCCACAGGTGCAGGGCTCTGACCACATCCAGTATCGCAAGGAAAATGTGAAGCCAGAACCACAAGTGAGATTTTTTTTTTTTAGATTCGTTCCTCTCAAGCCAGAGGAAGGAAGCCGTTTCCTTCAGGCTGCCGCACGCTTGCTAATAAGTCCGTTCCGGGGAAACGGGCTCACAGCTATTACTTCTCCTGCTCTTGACCCCTCTTGATGAGCCTTTCAGATTGAGAAAAGCGCTTCACGGTTCTCTCAGTGCAGTAATCACAGCTGCCTTTGAGGGATCAGGATCCGAGCTGCAGATGAGACGTGCACTGGGCAATCTTTCCTGGGCTGGAGAAGCCCGCGTGAGAGAGAACACGCACGTCTGTAGGAGTGGGTGCAGGAGTGGGCGTGAGTCAGGAGGACCAGGCAGGAAGTGGCCACACTCCTTGGCTGTGCCTCCCCTCAAGTCTGAGCTCATGAAAGGACTTGCTTCCGAGAAGTCGTGTTTCCCACAGCCAGAAGCCGAGCCTGCTCTCTGGGGCTCTGCGGCTCTGGGGCTCTGGGGCCCCGGGCTCCTGAGGTGAGCGCACAGTGTGGCTGCTGCTCAAACTTGTTGGGTGGGAGAAGTGAGGGGGTGGAGACTAAGCCCAGGGGCCACACCCAACCATTTCCTTGAACTTGAACTCAGGGCAGGAGTTTGGCCTAGCGGCTGTCACATCCCAAGCAGAGTGCCTAGGTTTAAGTCCCAGCTCCATCCCAACTCCAGCTTCCTGCTAACAGGCACTTGGGGATCAGCAGGTAACTGCTCAAGCACTTGGGTCCCTGACACTCAGGTAGGAGACCTGGATGGAGTTCCTGAATCTCAGCTTTAGCCCACCCCACACCCAGCTATTGCAGGCATTTGGCAAGTGAAGGAGAAAATGTGGTCTCTGTCCCTGTATCTCTTGCCTCTGAATAGAATAGAATAGAATAGAATAGAATAGAATAGAATAGAATAGAATAGAATAGAATAGAATAGAATAGAAATTTTACAAACAGAAAGCATGAACCATCCCCCATCAGCGAGCTCTGTCGTTCTACATTGAGTGTCTCCCCCCCACAGCGAGCTCTGTCACTGTACACTGACTGTCCCCCCACAGCGAGCTCTGTCACTGTACACTGACTCCCCCCACAGCGAGCTCTGTCACTGTACACTGACTGTCCCCCCACAGCGAGCTCTGTCACTGTACACTGTCCCCCCCCCACAGCGAGCTCTGTCACTGTACACTGACTGTCCCCCCACAGCGAGCTCTGTCACTGTACACTGACTGCCCCCCCTCCACAAACTTCCAGTTGGTTCTGATCCACAGGCTCAGGTAGGGACCCTTTCCCCACATCCCCGTTTCTCTGGAATGGCAAGAGAAGCTGCCTGTGTCTCATTTCTCTGCTGATTTTCATGAGCCTTCGCTAGGTACTTACATTTTTAAAAAAGATTTGTTTATTTATTTGAAATGCAGAGCTATGGGGGGAGGGGGAAGATCTTCCATCTGTTGGTTCACTCCCCAAATGGTTGTAACGGCTGGGACTGTGCCGATCTGAAGCCAGGAGCCAGGAGCTTCTTCTGAGGCTCCCATGTGGGTGCAGGGGCCCAAGGACTTCTACTGCTTTCCCAGGCACATTAGCAGAGAGCTGGATCAGAAGTGGAGCAGCCGGTACTGGAACCGGTGCCTATATAGGATGCTGGCCTGGCAGGCAGAGGCTTGGCCTTCTACACCTCAGCACCAGTCCTTGAGCACTGTTTTTTTATGTAACCAACATTCAAGGTAAACAATAAAGTGCTGCAGCTGAGCAGAAGTCCAGGGTGGGCTGTGCTGGTGACCGGGAGGGTGGGCTGTGCTGGTGACCGGGAGGGTGGGCTGTGCTGGTGACCGGGAGCAGACACAAGAGGAGCCAGAGCCTGGCTGCTCGAGACCCTGAGCCCCACGAGGGCAAAGGTCCGCCCTGCTGCAGCCACTCTGTGTGCTGCTGGCTCAGGGCCTGGGCGCTAATTAATTCACTGCCGCAAGAGGTCCAGCAGGACTTCCCGCGAGGTGCAGGTGAGGGTGGGGGAGGAGCGTCATTTGCACTCTGCCCCAGGGTGGTTAGCAGGTCTGTAGGAGGACACTGTCACCACCGCAGGACCCCACGCCCTCCAGAGGCCAATGCCCAGCACGGCACCCAGGCCACTGTAGCACCTGGCACCCTGCTAATTCAGTACCAGCACCCAGCAGCCATCTGTGGTAAGAACTGAGAAGTCACTGGGGACAGGACGAGAGCCCTGGCTCCCCAGTCAGGTAAGT